GCTTCAGACACAAGGGCACCTACAGCCTTTGTCCCTGTTTCCAGTTGCTGGCCTGTAAATCTCTCCCTCCTGTCATTTCAGCTGTTGGCATCACAGAAGCATGGGCCCCTGTGACTCATGGTCCCCTCTTCAGCCACTGGGACTTAGATGCCCATGCACACAGAACAGAGAGACCCTTACCCAAGAAAATAATTAGAAATGAAGTTTAGTAAGAAGACAGGACAGGCTGCAGTGATCACATACGGGGCGTGAAAAGTGCACTGAAGGGCAGCCTTGCAACTGACTCCTTTTGTTCCTTTTCCCCCATCTTTTCACATTTGTTACTCCTTAAATCACCTTGATCTTCCTTTTCCCCAGCTTTTCTCATCCTTCCTCTAAACATTTCATAATAAGCCTTGCATAATCCCAAGCTCCTTTTCCCCTGCATTCCATAATGATTCCAATGTCCCTGACAGGGTGACCCAAAGCCCCACTAACTCATCTGCTGAGTTTCATACCTGGACAAGGATAATCTCCTTTTATAGACCCAGGTCCAGGTCAGGGTGTTTTCCCTGACTAGGTGACTAGAGTTTCACCACCTGTTACTGCTCCTCTCTGTTCACGGAGATGAGTCTCTAATCACGTAACTCGTCACATACACCTTACACTACAGTACTTTTTGGTTAGTGTCATATTATCAAGTAAAATTTTACAATTTAGATTTTTTTTTTCTCTCTCTCTGCCTGTTGGTGTTACTTTAGTACAGCAAATCATTTTCCTGTGACTGACTCACACAAAAATTTGGGCTTTTCTGCTGTGAAATCCAGGAGTTTTCATCTGGATTCTAGACACATCGTAAGCATTGAAGAACACAGAAGCAAAACTACTGAAAACAAGAATTGCTCCAAACCCAAACTGTGAACTTCTTGGTTTATAAATACCTGGTGATCATATGCTCAAATCACTACGAGCTTTTCCCATGACTTCAATAGCTAATGGATCAAGCTAAAGGTAAAAGATGTTCTGTGGGAAAAAATAGCATAACTTTAACATTTTATTTACATTCTTTAATATTTTAATCATTTCAAGGCTTACCTTTTTAAAGTGATTTGTAAACAGGTCTCAAATGAAATGCAGTGACTGTAACCAGAGATTTGCAAGAAAATGGTAGAAGTCAAAGCCCTACCCTGGCAGTTAGTTCTTCCCCAGGCTTTTGTACATCTACGCACAACACAAAATGATTTAATGCTCTTGCTGTGCAACTTCCAAATAATTGTTTCTTTTGTTAAAATCTCACTTTTTATGAGAGGAAAAAGGAAAAGAATTTGTTGGAATGAGAACGAGCCATTACAGAGAGACAGGAGCACAGCAGAAGGTCCTTGCAATTCTTACATACGGAAACCACTTGCGTGCTGCTTGTTTCTGTCTCTACTGAAGGACGTATGCTTATTTATGTTTTATTATTGCTGTGCACATATGTTAATAAAAACCACCAAAACTCAACTTGCAGGTTGCTGAACATTTGCAGCCATATGGCAGCCATAACTAGTAATACCATTTTTTTTCCAGATATAATTCTAAGTGTTTCGAAAAACAACACAGATCCCACATGAATAAAACTAAGGATAACGCTACATTAAAATGTACCTTTGGGACTTAACAGGTCTGTAGTTTAAAATAATATGTTTTGTAACTTTCAGAGTTTTCATTTCTTTTATACATTTAATATTTCTATTTGCATAGCTGTTCTTGTTGAAAGATTAAGAGGCAAGGAAGCTGTAAGATATTTTCTTAGAGAAACAGCATCATTCACAGAAGCACTTCCCTGCCCACTTACTTATCATCACCTCCATTACGTGCGTAAAACTGGGCTCGTAAAACACATTTCTGATGAAGCCTTGCAATAGCTAGAAATGGCAAGAAAGAAAGAGATGTGGCTTCCAGCCAGCTCACATGGAACTGGTCTTCAATGCTAAAATGCCATCTTTTTATTTATTATTTTATTAAAAATACATCAGCTAGGAAAAAAATAATAAAAAAAAAGTAAAAACAATCCTTTTAAAAATCTTATTTGCAGTAAAACTTGAGATCAGATCTGTTTCACCATATCTGAACTAATTTCAGTAAGTTTACCTCATGGCAAATTTAAAACTGCCAAGTTTTAAAGCATTTGCCCTGACGCACACTTGGCAGAGCAATCAAGAGATTTTGGGTGACATTAGTGTCAACAGTGCAGCAGGTGATATTATTTCATAAACCTATCCACTCTAAATTCAGACTGGCTGGGAAACCAGTTGCAATATTTGCTAGACTGGCTGGGAACAAAACTTGGGGGGGGCAGTGCAGTGCAACCCTGGGGGGCTGAGGACTTAGGTCCCCTGATTTACTACAGGTCCATGGAGCACTCATTAGCACTGCCTTGGATCCATCTCACACATTCCTGCCCCCACTTAACACACACTGTTAGTGCCTCTCACTACAACTAATTAGTTTGTTACACTGTCTCTGAGTCGATTAACATTTTTGCTCATATTGACTTCTCAAACTCCCAACCGCGTGAAGTTAAACCTAAGTTAAGAGACTAAAGACCAGGTGAGGCCTGACAAGTCCCAAGGTCTAATATGGCCAGTGTAGTTTGTGTGACTCAAGGCCTGTTGTATAAAACCACCATATGCTATCACAATTATAGGCAGTTAATGACTGTCCCGACTTTGTCCAGGACAACATTTTAGGTCTCTGACTACTACAGCTTAATTATAAAGGACATAATTATTCATGGAAGGTAAGGTTGCTTTAAGCCTGCTGCACTGTCAGTTAGTGGCCCTAGTGCTTTCGAGAGTAAATCGTTGCTCCTTTCACGTGCTCCACAGCAATTACTGTACACATCCATCAGATCCTTCCTCATTCGCCTCTTTTCCAAGCTGAAAAGGCCATCACCTCCTGAAAGCCTTTCTGAACAGAGCAACAAACAAAAATCGCAGTGAGGATGGGCCCTGCAAGTGCCATTACGCTGTCCTTGAAAGAGGCATGGAGCTAGGCTATGAAGGCTATGGTTAAGGTGCAGCTACAAGATGGATCCAGAGAGCAGCCGAGCCGCCTCCTGCCTTGCTCTCTGCTCTCTACATAACGCTGCCTGTTTGCCCATGCTTTGTATAGTCACTGAACTATCCGCTAGGGACACCAGGACCCCTGTTTTATGTGGTCACAGCACTGATTTACAGAGCTATGTGTGGTCCAGAGCTCATGGCTGGGCAGGTATTCAGAGCAAGGCACTGGGTAGCAGAAAGAGCAAAGACAACTGCAGCGCTTTAATTTTATCATGAGGCAAACTTACTGAGATTAGTTCAGGTATGGTAAAACAGGTCTGCCCTCAAGTTTTACTGCAAATAAGTTTTTTTAAAAGGATTGTATTTACTAGCTTATTTATTTATTTATTTATGGCCTAGCCAATGTGTATTCACTACTCAAATGAAAGGAATAATAAAAAAGAAAAAGATAGCATTTTAGCACTGAAGATCAGTTCTCTGTAACCTAAGCTCCGACACTTAAATCTGTAAATGACCTTGACGGGATGTGAGAGGAGAGGGCAGATTTGACACAAGGAAACAGCAGGAGACAGCAGATACATTCAAGGGGCTAGAAAGACAGTCTCTGCCATTTGGCATCTGTATTAGGAAGTACTAAAATTAAATATATATATATATAACAATCAAAAGCTTAACATTAGCAGCTTAGGCATAAATGTGTTACTGAAACATAATAAAGGCACCTGGTCAACAGTATTCATGCAAAATGAATTAGCATTTAAGAAAAAAAATGCACAGCCCTCCTGCATTTTACATCCTCATGCTCATCCTCTAGGGGAAAAGAAATGAATAAGGTTGAGGGACACAGCATTTTCTCAATGCTTCAAAAGCTAGTACGTGGAATAAATCCATAAATGGCTATCTATTGCTCTCTGTTTCCTGAACTGTTCAAAAACCCCTGTCTCTGTCCTGTCCTCCAGTCATCTGACCCCCTGAACAAACAGGTTTAATTCAGCTGGAGACTTGGCAGTGTTGTGTACGAAGAAGCTCTGTGACCTCTACATTTTCTCTCTAGAGGTATCTTAAAGGAGGCTGTAGTGAGTTGGGGGTTGGTCTGTTCTCCCACGTGCCTGGCAATAGGATGAGGGGGAACAGGCTAAAATTGCGCCAGGAGAGGTTTAAGTTGGATATCAGGAAAAGCTTTACCAGAAGGGCTGTTAGACATTGGAATGAGCTGCCCAGGGAAGTGGTGGAGTCACCATCCCTGGAAGTCTTTAAAAGACGTTTAGATGTAGAGCTTAGGGATATGGTTTAGTGGAGGACTGGCTAGTGCTAGGTCAGAGGTTGGACTAGGTGATCTTGGAGGTCTCTTCCAACCTAGAAATTCTGTGATTCTGTGATCTCCTGGCAAGCAAGGTGGCTCTGCCTGTATCAGCAGGCAACAGGAGGAGACCAAGGGCCGAGCACAGAGCAGATGTCAGGTTCGAGGCGCTGGCAGCTAACGAGTAGCCATGGGGAAAGCCATATTCTGGGGCAGGATCCTGTGGCGCCTTCATGCTCCAACAAGCCTAAGACGTTGGCACGGGTCACAGGGGAGAGGCCGAATTCCAGAGCCAGCGAGGGCGCGTGAGCAGCGTGGGATGGTGGCAGCACCATGAAGCAGCATGGCAGCAGCAGGCAAATGCTGGGAGCCGTGAAGGGAGGAACAGGGAATATATAACGGAGCCTGGGCTGGGGTCTGTGAAAGGATGAGAAACACCACCAAGTTTTAAAAAAACATGTATATTTATTTAGTTTTCAGCAAGCTCTGAGCCTTCCCCAGCCCACCTCGCCCCTCCCCGCCTTCCCTCAGCCCCCGCCCACCGCCCCGGGCCGCCGGCCCCCGCGCCAAATCCCGCCCCGGGGCCCCGCCGCAGAGGCGCCGCGACTTTTCTCGCGCGGCTCCCTCCGCCCCGCCGCGCGTCCCCATTGGCTGCCGCGCCCCGGAAGGGGAGGGGGAAAAGGGGGGGCCGGGGAGCGCTTGGAGCGCGTGCGTGCGCTGAGGGGAGACGGGCGGCCGGGCTCGGCGGCGGCCCAACGGCCGTAACGGCTCCAACGGTCGGAGCGGCCCCAACGGTTTTAACGGCCCTCACGGCGGCCGCAGCAGCCTGCTTCTCCTCAGCTTCCTCCGGTGGTGGCCGGGCTGCCGGGTAGGCGCTATTGGGGGGGGTGGGGGCCGAGGCGTGGCGTGGCTGGGTCTGTGCTACCCCCTTTATTTGGGGTTTTGGGGCTGAATTTATAGCAGGTATTCCTTGGTAATACGTGCCCGGAGACTGAAATTAATTATAAGGCTTATTTCAAGCACGAGAGGAGCCTAATGTAGAGCTCAAGTGGCGCAGCTGCGAGGATGCTTATCGTCGTTATGTCGTGCGTTAGGAAACTGAGTCAGGCCGAGGGAAACAACGGTAAGGCCACGCCTGGGCGAGAGCTTCAGGCCGGTGACTGTGCTGTGGTATGCAGCTTCATCCTGCGTTGCCTGAGGCTGCACATCTGGGAAAAATGCTGTGTGTGTAAGAAATCTAATTGGCTTTTCTCATACTGTGTAGATAGCTTGAGCAGGGCATTTCAGCTAATTGCGGAGATACATTGCAGAGGAAGACACGATCACTGTTCATGCTGTATAAAATAGTAAAACTTTTCTTTTTTCTTTCTTTTTCCCAGAGTCTCTAACTCCTAATAGGAAATTGGAATGGAGGTTACAGTATCGGTCACATTCCTTGTGTTGTTTTCCATACTATTGTGTGAAAGTTACCACCATGGAGTGGAGACGGGCACAGTTGTGCAGACATTGGAGAGGACTTTTCCGGAAAAGGCAGCCAGCGTTAACGTTGACTTGGCAGGACTAATACAGAAACTTCACCTTCAAGAACTTTTTCGTCGCTATGGGGAAAACAACTCTCTGACGATTGAAGGATTTAGAAAACTGCTCCAGAACATAGGCATAGATAAGATGAAAAGGGTTAAAGTAGACCATGATCACGACCATGATCATCATCTTCATCATAACCACGTTTCACCGAGTAAAAACTCGGAGAAGACTGTTTGTCCAAACCACGAATCCGATGCTGGCAAAGACTCCCGGAACAGTCACTCGAAAGAACCTCATAAAGCAGAGAACGCAGATCATCAGCAGAACTTGGTACGCAGCAAGAACGCTGTTAATGAAATAGTGGCGTCTATCAACACTACCCCCACAGATGGCAACCCTGAGCTGCAGAGTCTGGATCCTGGAGAAGGCAAGTCGGTTGCTCGGTTAGGTCTGACTAGCTCTAACGCCATTAACATCACAGATGGCAGCAATACCAGTTGGCTTGCTAACAGCAAAGCAAATGAATCTCTTGCTTCTCCGAAGGAATCAGAAAGAGGAAGTTACCTGTATTCTAAACTTAAAAACCAAAATACCCAAGAGGTGAGACTGACTCTTTTGTGTTCTGGGAATCCAGGTCCCCTGGCAGTATTGTTATGGCTTTATTTGCTGGTTGCTTTACGCTTAGCTTGGTCCAAGCTTTGTAGTTTAACAGTGTTCATAGCAAAATGCATGCAAGCAGCTTTCCTTAAATCTTAACCCTTTGCTTTGGAGGAATGTTATAGTCATACGCCCTGGAAAATATCTATGCTATCTTGTTTATATTGCCTTTAAAGAAAAAAAATATTTATTTATATTAACAATACACTTCTTTTTATATACTGACACGTTTTTAAATATATGCTAAAAATGAAGAACACAGAACTCATTCTTAGGTAAGTATGTAAAAAGTTACTGATGCTCCACAGTAAAACTCCACTTTCTTCGTGTAAAAACAACAAGGAAAGATCAGAAGTTCGAGGTACTTCGAAATGAATGGTACTTCTTCCTTCTTTTTCTTTTTCTTTTTTTTTTTTTCCCCAAAATGAATTTCTTGCTTTGTAAGTGCAGCCAAACAGTCACGCAAGTATATGGTGGTTGTTCAGCTTGTTTTTAGAGCTTGTCTTTTTCTACTTGTGGGCAGGAAATGAGTAATATACTCCCCCAAGTTAAAAATAAGTGAGGGCTGATGGAATTTTAGACTGACCATATTACCTATTTGTTTCTCATTTTAGATACATGTAAATCAACATTAAATTCTTAGTACAATGGAGTGAATGGAATAGTAAACTCTGTTAAATCTTACTGACTTCTTCTTGGTTCAGCTTGTTTTTTCTGCCCTAAAGTCAGAATCTGTATTGTTTTCCAAGTAGCGTGGTGAAAGATGAAAAAAATACAACTAAAATTGTGTTATTCTTATGAGAGCTGCCTCACAGGCATAAGATAATCCCATGGTAGGCAGGGTGGAATTGTAGGGAATTAACAGGTACACACATTCTCTTTTTTTTTCCACTTATCTTCACTTTTTTTTTTTTTTTTAAGATTGCGTCTAAGGACCAACTATAAAATCATAATAAAAAAAAATATTGCTGCAAAATAATATCTATTACTTTAAGATAGTAAAAATGAGTGCTGATAAAGCCTATAATTTTGCTGTAGACAGTTCTGTTACACAATCGTATCTTTCTCCACGAAAGGTTTTTAAAACTAAGTGTCTCTCTGGAGTCTTAATGGATGCAGTCATCCTAGATAATTCCGAGTGGGTATGCGCAGTGTGTGATTTGTGGGTGCTGGTTACGAGTTACTCTGCTTTCTGTACAACCAGACCAGGAGTGCTGTGGGGGAAGTCAGGGAGGCTACTGAACCCCGTGTGGCTGTAGGTCATGTAGTAGAGGATGTGTGGGGCAGAACGTGTTCTGTCTGAGACTTCCCATAGTACAGACCCATACAACAAGGTCTTTAACCTTGTTGCTACTTCCTTGCATGGCCTCTGTAGCAGACTCAAAAGTGTTAGGCTTTTTTCTAACCTCAAAACAAAGCATCTGGCACCCACCTTTTTGCTGAGACCGTGTACTGATTGTGCATCATCTATCAGTGCTACCCAGCCAGCCTCTGGGCCCAAAGAGGGGATAAAGGTATGGTTCTTACAGAATTGGCTCGTTCCCAGTTTTTAATTACTGTTGTTACACCGGTTTTCACGCAGCGTCAATATATTAATTTCAATAAAAATGGGATGTGCCATCATTTCAAGTATTTTGGCTCTGCTTCACCTTTAACAAATGTGTCTTTCCACAGTGCTCCAGTGCATCCAAGCTGATGCAGTCCCACGGCATAGGCACTCAGGCTCTGTTGACTGCTACGGAATTTAGCTATCTTTGTCCAGCTCTTATTAATCAGATCGATGGCAAGTGCTGCATAGTCCATGCAAGTAGTGAAAAAACTGAAACTCCTCCAAAAGGTTACTCGTTGCAAATAGGTAGGTTCCCTTTTTTAATATGGAGTAAAAGCCTACTGGAAACTCGTTTATGTTCGTTATACGTTTCAGAAACATGTTTCAGAGTTGAAAGAAGCCTATGATTTTCTTCTGGCACTTCTCCTTACCATGTGTAGAGAGAAATGTTTGTGGCCTACCATTTGTTAGCATCTAATTAACTGGATGATCAGGAGTATTTGACAACAGGAATGTTAAGTAAACAAGATCTCACACAGCAGTTGTTTATTCTAATTGCTTTTTCTCTTTTTTTTTTTTTTTTTGTTTACCAGCTTGGATTGGTGGCTTCATATCCATCTCTGTCATCAGTTTCCTTTCCTTATTGGGTGTTATATTGGTACCTCTGATGAATCGTGTGTTTTTCAAATTTCTTCTAAGTTTCCTTGTGGCATTGGCTGTGGGGACTTTAAGTGGAGATGCTTTCTTACATCTCCTTCCGCATGTAAGTATTAATTATCATTCTGTTAATTATCCCAAAACAGAAACACTGACAGCTGCCAGTAACTATTAGTGGTAGTTTTGAGATATATTAATACCTACATGGTGGATAATTTTTCAACCTTGTAGGGTAGATTATTTGATAGAAATAATTTTGCTTCTACTAATAAGCACCTATCTGGAGTTGTTTGTACTACTCCTCTCAGTCTCTACTGTGTAAGAACTTCACACCGTGTTCCCTCAATCTATTTCCTGTTATCAGTCGTGTGTGCTGCCAAATCACTCAGAGTTCCTTGCACCAGGAACTTTGGGTAAATATTTTTTTAGTCTCTTACTGCAGTGCCATGTCTCATCCTAAGGCTGAAAAACAGCACCATACTGGGAAGAAGATTAACTATCCCAGCCAAAACCACAACAAATGTGGAATAGAAAATCTATTTTCTATTACCAGTCACTTGTGTTGATTGCTTATCTACTGTAATGTTTTTGTCAGAATCAAGCATTTCTAAGTCCTAGGAAAATATTACTAGATAGGCTTTAAAATGAACTACTACTGTTACATTATCTAGACAAAGAAATTGGAATATGATTCAAGAAATGCAGAAATTTTTCAAACTCTTAAAAATATTTATGGATCCAGCATTCAGGTAAGATGCACTAAACCACAGATCCTATGCTGTTTTCAGCGCCTTGTCCTTAGAGTTTTTCCTTTTCCTTCCAAGTTAATGTTGAACTCGTCATGTGAGGTCATTGCAAATCTAAACGTGTGTGAACTTGTGTGCATCTGTGGATTATACCCAAAAGTTTTTTTTAAGAATGCCAGATTTGCTTGAAAGAGGAAAATTGCTGTTAAGTGCTTTGTAGAAAAAAGTGTTTGATGTCAGGTAGCTGTCTTAGGTGGGAAAGTAATTGTTGTTCTGGCTTTGATTACTACTTCAAGTGTGGTTTCCTTGCTAGCATCAAGGGTATTTGTAGGGGCAGTTGTGTGTCTTGTATTCAGCAGTACACAATTGACTTCAGCGAGGGAATGCATACCAGTCCTCAGTGTCTTTCTATCAACAATTTGTCCTTGTAATTGTTTGAGTTTGTATCCAGAGCATTTATGCTATTACAAGTGCTAAGCCTGGACTCCAGATTTTTTGAGGAAAAGATTGTGAAGAAAGCTTTGTATGTTTCTCTTGTTATCAATTCTTGTGAATATAACGACTTTGCCTGTTTGCTTCTCCCCTTAGTCTCATGGAAACCACCACCATCACCACGAAAAGCCTCCCCTTGAACAAAACAAAGATCCTCTGTTCAAGCATCTTGTTTTTCAAAGTACAGAGGAGAGTGCTTACCTGGATTCTACGTGGAAGGGCCTTACAGCACTTGGCGGCTTGTATTTCATGTTTCTAGTGGAGCATTTGATCACTTTAATAAAGCAGTTCAAAGACAAGAAGAAAAAGGTATAACTACTGTTTTGAGGTTGTATTGTATTGCATGAGGATTTTTGAACACATTTCTATGAAAACATAAGTATCATGTATATTCTGCTGATAGGATTTGCTAGCAATTGCTGACTTGGTTAGTGCTTTAATTTATATTAGCAACATCTACACTCACAAACGAGGCGGTAACTCTTTTTTGTGGTCATCTTCAGGAAAACCTCAGAGCTGTTTCGTTAGCCAGACAGGTAGCACAGGGTTAATGTGGTGATTTTTTTTTTTTTAATAGGCAAACACTTAATTACAGCCTTTAGTTGAAGATATTTAAAGTCATTGCTTATTAGTGACTTCTTTCTGACCTCTCAAGGAGATTATGCAACTGATTTTTTTTGTTGTTGTTTTAAATCTTGTACTGGGTGAAGTAAGATGACCTCTTGTAGTTATTGCAGTACTGCTGAGGGGGCACTTCCCCAAAACGGGTGAGGATGGCAGTCACTCCTTAGACGAGTAAGCATCTGATTATGCTGCAGAAGGTGACCTTGTTAGATAGTATTCAGTTTGAAAATACCAGCTCCGAAGTTCCTCTTCTTTCCCTTCTGTCCCCGCGAAGAGGAGAGCAATACAGCCTTCGTGTTATGATGCTGTGTTTTCTGTGGAAGGTGTAAATAATTGATTTAGGTGAGTTGTAAACATTGGTTCAGCAGACTTGGTGCTGTGTGCTCTTTGAATTGGGTAACAGCAGGTTGTGTTGGTGTGGTTGATGCTGGAGTAAGCTAAATTAACTGAGTGACAAGATCACTTTCCCAATCTATTATTAAGTGTATTCATCAAGAGGTGACTTGAGTTCCAAGCAAAGCAAGTATTTTCTGTGTCCTTATCTCTTAGCCACTGAGAATGGATTTTCTGTTAGGCTAATTGTGCCTTTCCAGATACTGAGTCACTGATCATAAATTTTTGTGATGCTGGCACTAATGAGCGATGATTTTATTTGACTTTCTTTCAATACATTAGGAAAAAGCATCACACTGACGTTACACTGGAAAAGAACTAGTGGAGTAGCTCTTGGTCAGCATTTGCTGCGTTTTACTTACCAAATGACCCCCTTTTTGTAGTCCTTTCACAGAAGTACATGGTATTTATGCAAGTTCATTCCCCCCCCCTTTTGGAGCCTGAGGAACTTCTGTCTCTTTATTGTACTTAGGGGTTTCTAATGTTCCTCTTCTGCATTCTTCATATGGCTTCCATGTTGTCCTCTTTCTGTGCAGGCTGCATAAATGTTGTGAATATTATGTTGCTCATGTATATCCTGAAAAATAAGTAAAATATTCATAACTACAGTATTTTCTTTTGGAATAAGAAAAAAAATGAAGATGATGGAGAAAGTAAGAAGTTTTCAGCGAATGAAGAAAAGTTAGATACAGATGATCGTAAGTCTCAGTAATATTATTGAACAGTTGTTGTTGTGCAAAAGCACAGCAGCACAGTTAAACAAAAGTACAACCAACTGATTGATGGCAGCTCATAGGTTTGATTCTTACTGTAGGTTGGATCACTGCCTACTTAAATTCTCTCTGAAACAAACCTGAATGTGCGCTGATCTGTAGAGTAGTAGCTTCGTTTACTACTTCCCTTTTAAAAAGGATTGATTGGAAGTGGTGGATTCAGTTTAGAAATAAATGTGTTAATTCTGGATTGACCAGTAGAAGTAATTTTGAGAAGCTCTTCTGGCTATGCCTTTTGCATATGTAGCCATACCTAATGGCTTCTGTGCTTTTTGTATCTTCTTGCATCTGTTAGATGCCATTACATAAACCTAAATAATAGACCATGTGTATCTTAAAAATAAATAAATACTCAAGTCTGGATTTAAGGTCAATCTAAAATCCGAAGTGTAGAAGCATTTGGACTGCAAATACTCAGGTGTCCTCAGTACTGTGTTGTGAGCAATGCCACACCTAACTAGATACTTGTTAGCTCTTGTAGCTAAGAGAGGCTTCCAATTTTTTCAGAAAGTAGTTGCCAGCCATGCAGGGGAAAAAAAAAAACAAAAACACATTTGTTCATTTAACAGAAGGGAAAGAACTTAAAAAGTTTGGGGTCTATCACTTACAATCACTAACGTTATTATGCTCTTAATGTTTCTATGAGGACACTTCAGTGTGTGATTATTTTTGAGTATATTTTTCAGGTGTTCAAGTTTAAGAACTTGTGTATAATCAATTACTTTCAAATGAAACACAGGAAGTTTGCCAAAATTATCTGTAATGTAGTCTTGCTCTTTTGCATTCCTACTCTGTAGCCCTAAGATGAATAAATGGCATGTGCGTGTCAGGCTTTTCCCTTCAGAAGCGGTTGAACTAACAGCCTTTGTGCTGTGGAATTGAGATGCAGAGCCTTATGCTCTTGTACTTACATTGTAATGAGTTTTAGATGAAAAGCTTTCTTTTTTTTTGATTTTTTTTTTTTTTTAAGAAATCATTTGTGGCCATATTGTATGGGGCTGCTTTAGTGTTAGGGGACAAAATAAAATGTTTTTATTGTTTTGGAGTAACAGGAATTTTCACAGAAATATGATTGAAGAAAAATAGCTTGTGGAGGCATTTGGTCCAAGGAGCTGGGTTATCAACCTCAACTTTCAGACTCTCTAGTTGTTCCTTTAGTTTCTTTACTGCATTGTTTATTCAGCATATTTGTTGTTTCTTTGCTTCCTGAGTGACTCTAAAAATATATAATATTATACTCTGGGTTTTTGTAACAGGGTCTGAGGGCTATCTAGGGACAGACTCACAAGATCCATCGCCCTTCATTTCTCAGCAGCCAGCCGTGCAAGAAGAAGAAGAAGTCATGATAGCTCATTCTCATCAAGAGGAGGTTGACAATGAATATGTGTCCAGGGGCTGTAGAAACAAATGTCATTCTCACTTACACGATACTCTGGGACAGACGGATCATCTCAGCCACCACCACCACGATTACCACCACATCCTGCATCATCATCATCACCAGAACCATCATCCCCACAGTCACAGCCAGCGCTACTCGCGGGAGGAGCTGAAGGATGCTGGAATAGCAACTCTGGCCTGGATGGTGATCATGGGAGACGGACTGCACAACTTCAGTGACGGCCTAGCAATCGGTAAGTATTGGTGTGAATACTGCAGCTTTGTCATGTGTGATTATAGCAAGGTCTTGCTGTCGTTTATCTTTTTGTTAGGAATATAACCAATTAGTTGTTCAAAAACCCATACTGCTAAACTTCTATCTTACAGCGTCTCTAAATGAATGATAAGGTCTCCAGTTTAACAACCTGCAGGCAGTGACAAGTAAAGCAGAAACTTTGTGCTCACAGGTGCATTTCTTTAGGAAATCTGTAAATCTTGCTCTAATTCCTACTTCTAGGATAAAAGTAGGACAAAAAGGAACAGATTGAAGGTTTGTGTTTTGGACTTTAGGATTTGATGTCAGAGCTGGGGGTCACCTTTCTAGAAGGACAGCTAGATGGTGAAAGTAAGTTGTAAAATGAAGTTAAATCAGTGATCCTTACTTTTTCTGCTAGTCTTTCATGATCTTGACTTCAGTAATTAAGACTAATCTCTGGTTTTATCGCTATTGGCTTCGTTTCCAGCTTGTATAGCATACTGGGGGCAGTTCAGCAGTAACAGTCTGTAAATTTTCTTGTACAAACAAGTTCATTCTTGTTTGCGGAGGAAGCTCTATAGTAACTATTTTCTCACAGCAGTCTTTGCAGTTGTTCAGGTTCAGTCAATTCAAAGAATAATGTGAAAAGAGACCTTCTGATTTAATCTCTTTTTTATGAAAGTAGAAGCGTGGAATGTAAATTTCCTAGCAGATCAGTACTGAAAATGTGGTAGAAGGAGGATTTGCATACAAATTACATGCAGAATCAATTATCTGTTAGCATTAGGGAGATTTGGGAAGGAGCTGTGATTTGATAGTTATGAAAGGAAAAATATGAGAGGTTAATAAAAGCTTATTGAGCAAGTGAGAGTAATAGCTTTTAGAAGTCCTGCTGTGTGGCTTGTTCAGACTAATGGAAACGTGGCTTTCCGTCAGTTCTAGGTATGCTTGAAAATGTTATGGAAAACACTGGTGCTGTGGAAATGCCAATACTACTTGTATTATATTTATACATATTTAAATGAAGGCGTGAATGTTTCTGTGAAGATAGGGGTAGCCAGAATAACCCTTCACTTCAGTTTGTCTATTTCTTGAGATTGCTATTGATAACCTCCATCAGATAAACTCCCTCAAAGCTGTTGTGGTAAGTATGTAGGGATTAGATTTAAGTGCTTATATTTCTGTTACAGAGTGCAATGGTTGCATCTGACTAACCTGTATAAAAAGATCTATAATCTGAACTTCCTGTAGCTTCAACTAAATAACTAAAATGCAGAAAACTGTTTCCATATTAATCTTACCTATACTTCTCCCCCCCAAAAAATAAAAGATAATGTCTTGAGCATATTTTAGAATATCATAGCACTATCAAATCAACTTATTGAGAGAGCATGCTATAAATTGTGTATGTTAATGTTGTCTTCAGTTTGAGTATTAACATTTTAAGAGCTATTTTTAGCAGTCAAAAATAAAAACAGACATTCCTGTTCATATTTAAGGTCCTGCTTTACTGAATCTGGACGGTATTCAGCCGTATCAGCCGCCTAGGAACTTTGTGACACTGTCAGATTTTGTTTGGCTTGCCTTCATGGTCCCAAAATCAGACTTACTTTCTGTGATTTAGCTGGATTCTTGTGTTTTCTCTTTTATTCTAATAAGCTCTAAGACTGAAAAAACATTGTATAAAGGCAATAATTTAGAAGAACTGGTAGATTATTGAGGATGCGGGCATGGGAGAAGGTAATTACCTTCTGCCTTCCTTTCCTTATCTAGTCTCTTCAGGAACTGAAGCCCAATTTAATGCTGTTGAGTTCTCCTGTCTTAGGAGATAACTGCAGCTGTTTTCTCTCAGAAATCTGACTCAAAAACTCTAAAGCGATGTTTGGAAGAAAACAGACTGTCTAGGAAAGATTGATAGTGTTCACTAATAACTGCTCTTGCTAGTCAAGTAGCATTAACTCGTCGCTTACATATTAATTGCTGTGTGGACTGCTATGACAAAGTGTTCTGGAGTGCAGTGTGAAATATTCCTGTTGAGGTCTTAAATCAAAATACCTTTAGTCTTGCACACTGTACTTCCCTGAATTGCACTTGGTAACTAGAACCGTAAAAATGGATGTTTCCTAGAGGTCATCTGCTCAAACCTTCTGCACCCCTAAGTGGGTTCTCTTATCCTGGGAACAGCCTCCCCAGTGTGAGGAGTGCTATGTGAGTCTTTTCCCAAGCCCTGGGGACTCGATAGCTGTGACTTTGTCAGCACCTTTGGGTGAATCTCATCCCATGCATCTGAGTACTTCTGTTTTTTTCTAAATAATCTCTACATTGTTGCTGTTTTGCCTTGGGCTGTCCCTTTCTTTCTGGAATGGTGCTGGTACCTGTACCTGCTGGCAGATAGTCCTAATTTTACTGCTTCCCTTCCCAGCTTTCTTCTCTATCCTCAGCTCAGTTACCACGTGCTCACTGGAGTGCAAACTGACCATTTTGTTCTATTTTCCATTAAGTCCTCATGTTCTTGGTGTTACTCTGATCTTGATCAAGGCACTGTCAATATGCACGAAGAATTGCACTCATACTCAGTTTTGTACTGGAGCTCTGTACAGCCAAGAAAACCCTTTCATGTAAACCCTTTCAGGCAAAAAAATAAAAGAAGAGGGATAGTGATTGCAGTCTGTACCTGTTTGTGGCAGGGCAGATGTGCTTCGGTGGTGTCTCCACACCATCACTGAGGTGCAGTGGACTTCCCTGTGCAATAGCTCTCATCAGCAGGCCTGCCTCTGTCATCTGCCTTGCATGTGAGGGAGTTGCCTAACACTAAAATTCATTCTCTTTATGATGCTGGCCCTAACCAGATCATATGAAGTGTTGGGTGAATATTCTGGGCTGGGCAGAACTCATTTCCCTTCTAACTGCTGCCAAGATCACAACCACGTTCTTCAGATCAGCTGCTGCACATGGAGGTGGGAGAGTTCCTCCTGTTGCAAGGCTGCTTTCAAATTTTACTTACCCGGGAGTTCACGTTGACTTCCTGGTCCTGTGCTCCTTTGGTCCTACCTTCCTCTTCACCCTGAGGAGGCTTGGGCTCTTGCCTCCGTAGAATCTCTTCTGAAGACCTTCTCCATCTCCTCCTCATTAAACCAGGTCCAGAGATGCCTGCACGTGGCTGTGTGGCCTCATGTGTCATTGAACTTGCCTTTTTTTTTCATGCCCGACTTGGAGAAGCAGTTGAGATGAAATCTTCCCTTCATACCTTTTGAAAACCAGTGTCCTTTCTAATGGTATCTGCGTATGTTGCTTTTTTTTTTTTGTGAGTTGTGTTGTTGAACAGTATTGGGCTTAGTTCAGAAATTGGATGGTGAAACTTGGTTTGCTGTAGAGGATTAGAGGATTTTATCTTGCTTTGGATTGACATGCCTGAATCTTAAACAAAAACTGTTCAGTGACACATTAAATGCCTGAGGAAGCATAACAAAATTTGAGTGAGATTAATCATATGTCCTGATCTAATACGAGCATATGCACCAATGCTTTAGCTCTTGATGACTGAATGTGAAGTAATGCCTTTCCTTTTTTCCTTTTCATAGGAGCAGCCTTTACTGAAGGGTTATCAAGTGGTTTAAGCACTTCTGTCGCTGTATTTTGCCATGAATTACCTCATGAACTAGGTAAGACCCAAATAATTTGCTGTGCTGCAGTTACTTAGGTACTTATAAGTGCACTCTGGAGAATTAAAGGTTATTTTATTATGTAGCACAGTAAAATCTCTTGATTAGAAAGCTGCAGCCATATGAGACTGTCTATTCAATAATACCCTTCACATATTTAAAAGAACATTTTGTTTATGAACCAATTTTCCTTTTAAAACCCCAAACACCTCTGCTACTAATTTTAAAACTCGTTGTCTTTTGCAGTAATTTGTGACTTGTTCCGTGTGGTTCATCTCTAGTTCTTATTCTTCATAACCTAGATTCAGGAGAAAGCATGTCAGAATTTGTTTAGTCACATCTCTGCCTAATTTTCTTGTGTTTGTGCTGTTGAAGTGAAGGTCACAATTAGTCAGACTCCTTTGTGCATAGCATGTGCTACTTTTCCTGTTAAGTCTCACAAAGAATTGCAGTAGCTCTAAATTAAGCTTGGCACTATTTAGAAATCTTTCCTGGAAATACTCTCTCTTTGAAGCTCGAGTGATTTAAATTCATGACGGTAATTTTTTAAAGGAATGCATGTGTTGTAAGTTCAGTATCATGCCCTTTTGCAGTGAAGCTCCTGAGAAAAGGACTTGGCTGTTTGGTTGAACTCAGAATGGTTTTCTTTCCAGTTGTTGAAGCGTTTTGAACATGTAACTGGTATGTCTTTCTTTGCAGCTGTGGTCACATCTGGTATACAGGATGAGGAAGACAGTTTGCTTACACTTCTTTAAGGTTTAATCTGCTAGAAAGTGCACTGTTCAATTTCATTTAACAGAGCTTGTAAAGCAGCGTGTGTATATATGAAAGCATTTATTAAACAATTAGATGTACTTGGCTGTCTGTACAATCATGTTGTACAGAAATAAATTACTTTCTCTGGAGAATGTACCTGGTTTTACAACATGAGGGGAATTGAGCCTTGTTCATCTCAATATAAATTCTGTGGAAGTGGTGGAACTTGTATTAACTACATGTACTAAATGTCATTAGTACAAGTAGACAAGATAAATTCATGTTACAAGTCTGGCATTTTGGATTCAAGTGTCCTGTTTACCTTCAAGCGAGAAAAATCTGAAGTTTAAATCATGCTTTTTTTAACCAATACAGAAAACTTGATGCAAATATCTTCTTTAACAGAGAACATGAAATGGCATAGGAACACTAAGACAAAATGGACTAAAGTTAACTAGGGAAGAAATTGGATTGTTCTGTTGTTAGTGCTAAGCAACACTGATAAGATTATACCAGTTCATCTTAATTGTATCCTCTAGTGGGATAAGCTGTTGTAACAAATTTCTCAACTCAACTTTGAAGACTGCTTTTATTTAAACTGGAGAGAAGTTACGTTTTCCTGTAGGAATCAATTTCATTTCCAAATAATAAGCTTCTACTTTGTTTAAATACAAATTCTACTCTTTGTTTAAATACATTATACTGATCTTAAAACAGATTTCTCCTCTGAATAATGGAAAAAAAAATTGGTAGTCTACCATTCTTTCAAATAAAATTAAGACATTATGATTGCCTATAGAAATTAATGGTGACCTTCTAAATTTAAGCAAGCTAGACTTAAAGTACAAAGAAAAGTTACAGGTTAAGAAATGAATTCATCTTGGTACCATTGTTCTATGCAGTGAGGTAGGGATACTTGGTTTTAGAAACTGACTTGGAGTGTTCATATATGTCAAGGACTACAATGTGTTGGTTTAAATACGAGCTACACTGGAAGCTGCTTCCAAAAATCAGGAAACTTTAAAGCTGTGAACTACCACAGAAGTGTTGTTCATGTATGCTTTTTCATTTTTTTTTGTCCCACCATTTTCTAATTTTGTGAAGAAAACCATAAGGCAGATAACAGTGTAAAAACTGCCTAGTAATCTTTAAGAAAGAACAGAGATCGTGAATACTGCAGGAGTTACCTGAGGCTGTGAACACCTGCTTTGTTTCTCCCTGCTCTAGGAGATTTTGCCGTGCTTCTGAAGGCTGGTATGACTGTCAAGCAAGCCGTGCTTTACAACGCGCTGTCAGCAATGTTGGCCTATCTTGGAATGGCGACCGGGATCCTTATCGGTCATTATGCCGACAACGTTTCCATGTGGATATTTGCACTTACTGCTGGCTTGTTCATGTATGTGGCTCTTGTGGATATGGTAAGTGGCTATGTTTTACGCAACGTAGTTTAAAAATTAATGCCGATTGCATTTTGATCGTAAATTCTTCCACCTTTTCTCCCTTGATATGTTTTGATACCCAAAAGCATGGAGGAGTGTTCAGATAAATGTCCAGGTGCAAGATTACTTTTAGGTTACTGTTGGTGCAGAGACTGTTTCTGCCTTGGTTTTTAAATCAGATGCTTAACAGCAGAAGTAGAGTAAAACACTTGCTCTGACAGTGGCTACTGTAGCAACTTGCAGTTTTAGGGGCTCTCTGCACCACCAAATGTGCTCCAGCTTTTGCAGCAAATCGTTAGTGCTTCTTGTGGTGAAGCCCGAATTGTGTTAAAATCCACACTGTACCTCAGAGGTATGACAAAGTACTTAGTGGGTGTTCGTGGAAGTTTAACCATGGTCTTATAATGAAATTCTTGGTGTGGCTTGATTAGATCAATTGGTAAATAAGCCAGCCATTTACTCGGAGTATAATTAAGACATCAGCATAATTATCATGCAAACAGTAATTATACCATTACAGACTCTGTCTCTAGCTTATGTGAAAGTAGCCTGATAATGTTATTCACCTTGAGTGACACCTAACTCAAGGAGTAGTGTGAATGCAGTGTATTTTGAAGGCGTTTAACCCTTTCTTGTTTGTTTAGGTACCCGAAATGCTTCACAATGATGCTAGTGACCATGGATGTAGCCGCTGGGGATACTTCCTCTTACAGAACGCTGGGATTCTGCTGGGTTTTGGGATCATGTTGCTTATCTCTGTGTTTGAGCATAAAATTGTATTCAGCATAAACCTGTAACCTTTGCTGCTGGGAACAGAGCTTGGCGTTACGTTGAAAAACAACAGGTAGCTGTTTTTCTATTCCGTAACGGAGGGGTACGCATGATAGAAGCTAGGTATTTTTATTGGTGTATGTATTGCGTCACTTTCCTCCCCCACGCAAACCTTTTTCCCTCCTGTAGAAATGCAACTGGTTTTCACTCCGAATTTAGTTCTGCATACGGTACTATGGGGAGGCATACTTAAGAAGTCATCGTGGAAGTGCCAAATCTATGAACACATTATCACCTGTGGTGGTGGTAGGGATCTAGTCTTTTTTTTTGTGAGTTTATTTACTGTAAGTAATTATGTGTAATGTTGGTGTTTTTTTTTTTTTTACTTTGGTATTTTTTACCACATTTATTTCTTTGTACTAATAAAACAAATGTCAGTGGTTCTTATTTTAGCACAATCAAAACCCGTGAGTAGAAAGCACCATGAGCAGTGTAAAACAAAGGCTGGCAGTGGGCAGCGTGTGCTTATAGTGGTAGAAACTAGTCTCTTCTGCGTCCATCTGGTTTACACGGTGTGGCAGATGAGCCCACTCCATCCTTTTTGCAGTGGTTGTGCTTTTGGATTCTGTGTTTCCCATTGCAGCTGCTTTCTACTCCAAGCAATTTCATGAGAAATCCTGTTGCAGTTGTTTGCAACAAGTATGTTTTACCTGCTTCATCCCTTCTGATGTGTGTTACTCTTCCCTGATTACTCAAATCAGGAAGAACAGTACAGCTATTATGTCGTAAAAGCATAGCTGTGTCTATAATACACTTGAATTCCATTAAAAAGACTTAAAGCAGTGCTTTATCACATTTACGCTGCCTGGAGCGGCAAAGTTGTATTACAGTGTTTGATATCAAGGGGAGTAACGTTACAGGCTGGGACAAACAGTCATTTATTATGACAGCTTTCCTAAGTCTTGATTTATTTTGGGAAATGAACTAGTCAGCTCTCCCACTCAGCTCTCGTTCTCTATGATAACGCACAATAAACGTGTGCTTGCTCAACAGTTACATTCTTTGCAATAACTACATTTGAAAGATGTAAAAAGCAAAAATTTTTTGATAGCATGTGTAGGGAAACAGCATATTAAGAATAATAACCAGTGTAGATATAAGTATGTAGTTTGAGCTTACTATCCTATGGTCTTAATATTTTAACAGCCCTGAAAGTAAGCAGGAAGGAAAGATGAAAAAGACAACTGTCCCAAAAAAGAACAAGACACACCCAACAACCAGTGTCCTGCATCTGCAGGAAATGAGAACATTAAATTGTTGTGTGTCTCAACTTTTATGTAAGAATAAGAAGAACATTAGAACTTTTTCTGATTCAACTTGACTGCTCCTTCAAATCATCAGCTGAATAGAAAACTTGAACAAAGAGGATGTATTTGATCATACTGTGTCTGACAAGTCCAAACAGCCCGGCATATGTTGGTCTGTCATAGAGTAGTGTTGGCTTTCAATTCCTCCCAAACATCTACTTCTGATGTGATAAAATGAAAGATTCTTGTTTTAACTAGTTGAGAAACAGGGCCCGCAGGAGTTCCTGCAGGCAGTAGACTATTAGCTTTTCTTCCTCCTTAAGTCTTTACTCTGGTTAACAAGACAAATTCATTTAAACTTCTTTCCGCAGTGATGAAATCCTGTTTTATCAGTGTTCTCTGAGCAAGCTGAAATAATCAGCATAAATCTGTTAAGGTTTTAATGACAGTGTCAGAGCTCATATTAAGAATTTACATAAGAATAGATTTTTTTCTGAGTTCTCTCTGGTGAATTGTTACCAATTCTTCTTAATATAGAATAAGCAGTGTCTTGAACTTCATTTCTGTGCTTTCTTTAAAGGTCAAATGATATCAATCTCTCCACAATAGTAGAAAATTATGGAAGGGGAAAAAAAATAGTGTGCTCCAGTACAACATCTATGGCATCTAAACTGTGAGCAAGAAAAAAGGAGCAAATAAAGCTCACTTCTGTCCTGCAAGAGATGATGTCTTAAGGCTGGGAGATGTCTGCTGGCAGCTCTCTTGTAACCTTTTCTCTTGGGAAGCAGTGTGAGTGGAGCAGGAGCCAGCAGAGCTCCCTGTCGTTCTTTAGACTGCCTGACCCACATTGGGGGACCTCAGCCTCAAAGGAAACACCCCTTGTATCTTCCTGTATGCAGTACTTGGCTAATGCATTTGAGACAGGGTTTGTCTTGTTTCCTTTTGAGTCAGGAGGCAGAGAAAGGCAGCCTTTCTTCAGCTTTTTCTCAAGCTGAGGCATCTTGAGGGGAGTGCTCAGGTGTGGTGGGGGTCTTAATGTTCCCCCAAATCTTAATGTGTATGAACTTTTTTTACTTCGGTCAGCAGTTGTTTGGAGAGAATAGACTTGTCTTTCAGAGCTCTCCATTGCATCTCTGACAAGAATGCTAACAAAATACAGGTACATTCTTTCCTTTCATCAAGTGTTCTGCATTTTGTTTTTCTTTTCCACTGTTTTCTATTCTACGCTTTTGTGTTCTGGTTAGGCCTCTGTACTTTCCTCAGAAGCACACCTCTAAAGAAACAGCAGAAGCAGTCTGCCAGAAGGAATGCTGCAGCTCGTGGTGCAGAGGAGTCATGCCACGGTACAATAGCCATCTGCTATGTCTCTGTAATGTCTCTGTAGCATCTCCTTGGTCTGCTGCTCTGTGCTACCTCTGTCTTTTATAGCAGTCCTATTCCAGTGTTTCTAGGATTGAATTAGGAGTAACAATCTAAATTTTAGGTTTTGTTGTAGCTGAACCCTAAAGGCCAGCTGCTGATCTTCTTTCCTTCAGTACCCCTACTGCATCAACGCCATCAGCTCTGGCTCATGGAGAGCTGCTCAGTTTCTGGCATGTGCATATTGCTGCTTTCTTCTTCAGAAAAACAAATGCATGAGTCTAAAACAACACTCTTATGCACCTCCTCATGCCTAAACTGAAGCTTTTCATACCTGGACTAGTGTTTGCTCCTCTAGTGCCCTTCTGTCTACAGTCCCAGTCATGGGACAGAGGTCTCAGAGCATAGAAGCTTTTTCTCTTCTGGAAGTCTTTCTGGTCTTTATTGCAGCTGGACGTGTCCTGTTTGGAGCTGCTTCCCGGGAGCTCTTGGCTGGCTTGCAATGTAATAAATTGACATTAAAATACCTGCATATCAAATATGCTGCTGATGTAGCAACATGAAAGGTAAACTCCCCTGTGGACTGTGGGGGAAGAAGAGCCAGGTAAGCTGGCCACGGGCATTTTGGACTGGATCATTGCTCCTGTACTTTTGTCTTTGGTGTGATGTTGAGCAAACCAAGGGCTGAAACTTGCTGCAGGTTTGTGCCAGCGAGATAATAAAAAGTGGCTTAGATTTCTGTCATTGGCCTCCAGTGGAAGCAGACCTTCTATGTCTTAAATATACTTGCACTGAAATTTCACACAGTTTGGAAAATGAATGGGGCTGAGCCTCTTAAGAGCATTTTGTTGTTACACATGTATGTTTCTGCAGCATCTGATCAATGGTAGCACCTTTCTGTCTGTCCCCTTGTGTGCTACCCGTGGTACGGACCTTAATTTTGTGTGCAGCCAGAGTGCCTGTGCTAGGCTGGCATATACAGAATCAGCAAATAATGATGGATTCAGAGTGATTTTCTTTGTAATGTATTTATTCTTCTCATGTTTTTGGCCTGGGTTTGTATATAAAAGCTGTCATGTGAAGTTGCTGTGTGCAGGGAGAGTTAAAATCAGCCCGTGGCAGTGCTTGTCCAGTGCAAGGCTGGGGGGCTCAGAGCCATGTTGCAGGTCTTGCAGGGACACAAGGATTGGATTTATTTAAAACTAATTCAAGGCTAAAATGCGGGAGTGGCTCTCCTGCTGCCTGAAGGTAGGGTCATGTGTAGTTAAAACTCCTGTGAAAAGCTGGCTCGCTCTGCTTGCCACAGGGGGGTGGCTGAAAAGCTATTGCCATGAAGTGTATTTTTACTTAAGTGTATTTTTACTTAAAGTACGGTTTGAGTGCATATGATGGTCATTACACACTCTATTGTATCGCTGTGTGCTAAAAAAAGAATAAACCACTGAACGAAATGCTATTTTCGCAGTTTTTTCACACCGAACGGCGTGGGTTGGAAGGGACCTTCAAGATCGTGTAGTTCTACCCCCTGCCACGGGCAGGGACACCTCCCACTAGACCAGGCTGCCCAAAGCCCCATCCAGCCTGGCCTTGAGCACCTGCAGGGCTGGGGCTCCCCCAGCTGCTCTGGGCCGGGGCCTCGCCCCCTCCTCCCGCTGCGGGCTCTGTGGCACCGGGGCGGGGCCGCCCCACGCCTGCGCCCGGCGGGCGGCGAGATGGCGGCGGGGCGGGCGGGCGGCGGCGGGGCGGCGCGGTACTTCACCCGCTGGTACAAGCCAGGTGCGCGGGGAGCAATGCAGGAAGAGCTGCAGGGAGGGAGCCGGGGCAGCGGGCCCGCCGCCTCACCCCTCTTTGTGGCCTCTTGCAGACGTGAAGGGGCGGCCGTGCGAGGACTTCTGCGTGCTGCAGCACTCCAACAGGCGAGTGGCCGCGGGCTCCGGGCTGTGGGAGCCCGGCTTTCCGGGTGTGGGTGCTCGGTAAAACATCCTCTTGGCCCTTATGGGCTCGGTTTGGTGCCTCTTAGCATCGCAAAAGCCCTTTCTGAATTGCACTGCGAGGTCTCAGCGCTAATGGCGAGGTGCCAGCTCGCACCTCCTCCTCCTCCTCCTCCTCCTCGCAGGAAGCCGCCAGGGTCAGGAGGAAGCAGCGTTTCTGGTTCCTCTCAGCTGCTGCGGAGCTTCCCGGGACCGCCGTGCCCCTGTTCGCCGGGATCCGGCTCCCCCTTGTGGGAGCTGCTCGCCCAGACCCTGCGGAGCTCCGGCGCTGCAGCTGTGGGCTTCGTGCATTAAGTGCGGGTCTAAAATAGGGGGGGAGTTAGGGCTCAGCTCTGCAGCTGGGTTTGTCTTAAGCGCCCCAGTTTTGTGACAAGAAATTCTCAGCCTTTAGAAAAGGATGGGATGCGAGCAGCAGGTTTAGCTAAAGCCCAGCTCACAGGTGGACCACTGACAGCCCCCAGCTTCACCTTTGACTATTCCCAGAACTGTTGCCTTCTGCTATATCATCATCCTTCAAAAGCAAACCGAGCTTTACTTCAGCTTCTTGAAGTGACTACTTCAACAGTCCCAATAGAAGTCAATCAAGTGTGTTCGCATGGGGTGCAACGCTGTATAAAAGCTCTGGTTCTGTGTAATTACCAAGTTTTCTGGTTTTTGATGACAGCCTAGTGTCTCAAAATGAAGCATCTTCTCTGTGGGTTGCTTTAGGTCAGAGTTCAATTCTCATTCAGTTTGGTACAGCTCACTTCAGGTAAGAAGCCCTGAAGAAAGCTTGTTCAGTGTGGTCCAGTAGCTGACATTTTTCTGAGTAGGAAACTAAATCTCTATCTTATCCACAGGCAATAATTACTGTAAGTTCTTCATCATTAGCTCAGGTAAATAGCTTTGTATGTTACCTTGTGCAACCCCCATGCTGTTGTTGGGTCTACTGGGTGCCTGCTCAGTGACCCAACTATCACCTGAACTTCCCTACTAAACTACAGCAAGAACTTCTACTATATACTGTGGAAGATCAAGTATCCAGCAGCGAAAGTCTTGCTAGTATTTCAGACGAGAAGCTCAAGTGAAGTCCCAGTCTTGGTTTTAAATCCCACCAGTACTGGCAGAGAAAGTTTTGGAGCTTGTTTTGAGTACATAAGGGCATGGCTTTTCACAACTACAGCATAATAATTATAACTCTTCTTGCAGAATCTGTGTCATCACCTTGGCAGAAGCCCACCCTCTTCTTCAAAATGGAAAAACAATTAAAAGTATTAATTACCAAATCAGCCCCAACTGTAGCAGACTTCAGAATAAGGTCTCTGGGAAGTCAAAAAGGGTAGGTCTTTTTGATTTGGTTAGCTTTCATTTTAGTCTCTCAAACTGCCTGAAACTTTGTCTTTTCTAGAATTGAAATTTAAATAAAACACAAAGGTAACTTGCTAAGCCCCTCCCTAGTTAAATAATTATGATGTGAGAGAGAGAGCATCCTGACCAGGGTGTTACAGTGATCATACAGTTTTGGTGGTTTCCAGTGTTGCTCAAACCAATGTTAATAGTCTCTTAAGTCATTTTGTTGTGGTATATAGAGGGACTTAAACATCCCTTAATAGATGAAAAAAAAAAAAAAACAACAAAACTTTTCACCAAAATGCCAAGCCATTTGGAAGCTGTTTTTGTCAAATAGACCTAGACAGCAGATGGCCTTGTTCAGTTTTTCCTGGTGGGTTTTCAAATGTGTAGTTAAAACTGCTTATGCTAAAGTTAACTGAGCTATATTTTTCTCCTCTTTTTGCTTATTCTAATTTCTTTAAACTACAAATCTGTTATTCCACAAGAACCAGTTATAAGTAAACTTGTAAGCTTTTACAAGCTTCTATTTGTGCACACAGTTATCATCTCTTCAGTAGGAAAGCATAAATACATAACTTGCAATGAGCTGTAACTATCCCACTTCCTTGCTTTGTTCTGAGCAAGTTACAAACTTGTTATGTTGCTGATGGTATCTTAGAACGCCTGTGTAATTAAGTGTGTGTATATATAAATGTATACATTATTTTTTTCTTTTCAAATGCAGGGAGCTCAGTTTTTAACAGAACTTGCCCCACTGTGCAGGATATCCTCAACAGATGGAGAAGAGTACACCATTTATAGGTAAGGATGTTTTCCTCTGCCCCCCAGCCTGACATACCATGCACATTTACTGACTCTAACTACTTTTACAGTTGTATACGAGGACGACTGATAGAAGTGAATGAAAACATTCTTAGCAATCCAGCTATTTTGCAAGAAAAGGTAAGAAACTTTCTTACTTCTTATTTTCTAACCTTTATTTTACTACTAACTTCACTCTTGCTTTTTAGCCATCAACTGAGGGATACATTGCAGTGGTTCTACCCAAATTTGAAGAGAGCAAGAGTATAACTCAGGGACTTCTGACGCAGGAGGAATATGAGGAAGTTTTGTTGAAACGTCATAATAATTCTGCATGAAGTTAATTATACAGGCATCATCTGTATTTGATAGTTAATAAGTTTCTTGGACACTGTAACTTTCATAGGATTAAAAGGCCTGTGTGTCTGTTTTTAAACATGGAACTTAAAACACTGGTTTCACACGAGAATAAAACAGTCCGTTTTGTATATGAAAATTTTCTTTCTTTTTTTTCCCCTCAATTCTAGTACTACAACAAGCTTTTAAATAACCACAGATTGATATTTTGGAGAATATTTGTGTTCCACAGGCTTCTTTACTTCTGCTTAGTGCAAGCATAATACAGAAGAATCACGTAATTTAGTTGTCATGTAATTTAGCTAAGCTAATGGAGTTTGACAAAGGTGAACTGAAAATAAAATGTAACAGGAGCCTGTATACAAAGAACAGATAAACTTGAAAAGAAGTATTTCATACCAGGTTGTGTTCCTAGCATTCTAAAGTCAAATAATGCCCTTTCTACAGAAGTTTGTTATAATCAGTATCTATTTACTTCAATTTTATATGCTATAAAGTCTACATAATACTTCAGTGGTTCCACATGCAATTCAAATTCTGCTCAGTAAGTTTTAATCAAAAAGGAAGCATCAACAGCTATCTACAAATAAAGATAGTAAAAGGAGAAGGTATTGAGACAGGGGTACTAATGAGTTAGAAGTATACTTTGGGAAAAATGAATCATGCCAACAAAATTAAGATTCATTGTTGAGCTATTGCAGGAGTGTTTTTTCCTAGGGCTATACTTCATTGCAGGTACAACTCAAAACTAAGGTAACATTTCAGTGCTTTAGGCCACAGCCTTTCAGACTATATTCCTGATTGGGCTTTACAAATTCATAGACTGAAGCAGGCCAGAGATGAGCTTACAGACTTCAGCAGTAGTGTTACATACGTGTATAGCATATTGAGCACAAGGTTCTTTACGTGAACTGTCTATTAGCAGCATCTTTGGGTTGGAACATCCATTAAGACATTCAGAAGCATTAACTACAAAACCAGTATTGATAGCGAGCGTAGGAAATTCATTCACATTATAAAAATATATAACGATTACACTAGCTGGTGCTGTAATTGTTAGGGACATCTATTAGATGTGACAAAGGTCAAGGGTTTTAATTCAGATTAACCTGGTTTGACTTTCCACAAATGAAAGCAAAATTGAAACTTCAGCAAGTGTTATTCTCTGATAGAGTTCCTGCATTTCTAAGTGCTATAATTACTTGCTCTCTAAAAACGTCATGTTTGTTACATGATTTTCCAAAGATTTGATGCCAAATGTCTCAGCTCTCCTTTCTGGAGCATGTGCATTTGTGCCGGTTCTTATTCTGTCTTCTCTCCATGGTGGAGCAGGTTTAAGATAGCCGTTTCCTGCTTTATTCTGTATAAAAAGAAGATTTATTTTTAAAAACATGAACGAACAAAAAGCAAACAAGAAAAAACTAAAATACTGCAGATGAATCAAGTACCTTTCTCATTAATTTGCTGCAAAGTGGAAGAAGTTGACATAACAGAGTCATCACGTTCCTTGTTTTCTGAATGCATGCATCAACCTAAACAAGGCAAGTACAGTAGAATAAGACCACTGATTACTTTTTTCAGGCAACTATTTAGTACATAAGATGATAATCTATTTTGAGCTTGAAGGGATAACATTTATCCTTCGTAAATATCTCTTCTGATCAGAAAGTTTTGCCTAGCCATTTTGGATTTTTCTACTGCTCATAAAGCAACAGCATCCCTTCTGTTAAAGGGAGACTTGGGCTGGGAAACAAGAGAATGACACACAGCTCAGGAGAAGGAACTAAAAATAATACCGTATTAGAGAGTAATGTATGTATTTCAAAATTTTATTTATTATTTTGGTCAACATCCTGTCAGCAAGATTTAGAAAGCAGCGTGACATGTAAGCCTTACCTGGACCATGATATGAGTTATACTAAAGGTTAACTAAATCTTGAACCATTTGAATTTAAGCTTTATGTATAATG